GGGCGGAGTCAGAATGGGTGTGACCTGGTGAGGGTTCAGGCGGGTGACTCAGCTGTGGACGCTGCCTGCTCGCCCACAATCCTGGCTGGGAGGAAAGGCCCTCCTGCCTGCCCACCCCATGTGAGGATGTGCTTTTCCCCCCCAGCCTCCGCCCACGTGCCAGGCTTCTACGCCATTGACATGGTTATTCGGGACACCACCTTGGCAAGTCCCCCTGCCATCTTGTCCTGGTTCCTGCTGGGGGCCCCCCTCTCCGGCCTGGGACCCATTTTCTCGACTCTGCCCTCCTCTCCTGGGCGGCCTCCGCGCCCGACGGCTCCTCCCCGCTCCGGGTGCCCCTCTTCCGGCTCCAGGGCGGCCTCTGCGCTCGAAGACCCCCTCCCAGCAGGCAACTTGGAGGCCACTCTATTTCTTGGCTTGGCGTCCCTGGGGGACCAGCCTCTGGCTGGTCCTGGGGCGGGGCGGGGCGGGGCGCGGGGCGGGCCCAGGGGCAGGTTCTTCGGGTCCTGCTGGCGGCTGGGGGGAGGATGCGGTGAGCCAGCGACAGCTCCCCGGAACGCGCGCCTCCGAGCCTCCGCCTGCCCCGGCACCGTGCTCATGGCCGCGGCCTGGACATGGGGGGCGGGGGACGCCTTTGCCTCGCAGAGGGAGGTCGTGCTGGAGCGTCTGTGCTGGCTGGACGGGGGCTGCGAGTGGGCCCGCAGGGGCTACCTGTACCGGCAGCTGTGCTGCGTAGGTGGGTGTGCTGGAGCAGGGGGGCGGGCTCGCTGGAGATGGGGGCTGCGCCCAGGTGTGGCCCCGCCTCCGCGCCGCGGAAGCACCTGAGAAGGGGGCTGGGGGTGTGGGAAGAAGGCGCTCCGCCCCTCTTTTCCGTTGTCTCTCTCGGCCAGCCTAGTCTTGGTATCCCTTCCTGACTGAACTTCCGCGGTGGGATGCGGCTCGGTGGGGAGGGCTCCAGGCCCTGCCCTGGGGAGCACTCCTGAGCTGTGGGAGCATACTCTCTGTTCTAGTGCACATCCCAGGTCGTCCTCCACCAGCTTTAGCTGGCATGTTTGTACAAGGGGCGTTGACGCTCCTCAGAGAGCCATGGCCACCTCTGTCCCTTGGGGGCCCCTGGGCTGTCATGTGGGACCCTGGGAAGGGTTAGCAGAAGGTACAGTGCCAGCTGAAGGCTAGCAGTCAATGAGGAGTGGACTTGGGCGGTGGGGCCGGACGTCTGCTGGCTGGAGGGTCTGAATAATATGGGGCTTCCCCCGCTGGAGCAGGAGCCAGGGCTGTGAGAGCGGTTGCTGCCCCGCCCGCGCTGGTGGGGTGGTTAGGCAGGATCTTGAGGCAGCTGGTAGCAGGGAAGGCTGGGGCCTGCGCTGGGACTCCCCCAAGGCCTGGCCAGGCCCAGCTTTTCCTGGAGGCCCTGGGCTCTTCCTGGTTTGTCCTGGGAGTCTGGTCTCCCTCTTTAGAGTGACAGCCACCCTCCCCTTGTTCTATTCCAGCTGGCTGAGCACCTGCCTACAAGTTGAAATCAGGTTGAGGGCCATGCAAAGAGTGAGGACAGAGGAGCTCACCACTATTGGGGTGTGGAGGCTACACCTGGGTCCCCGCCACTTGTGAGGGCCCTGGCTGGGGAGGGGGCATAAGGTGGACCCAGACCAGGGAGGGGAGGGGGAGTGTATGGGGGCTCTAACTGGGGATAGGGAATAAGGGGGCACCGGCTGGGGAGGGGGTGTAGGGGGGTATTTACCTGTGAGGGAGTGTAAAGGTGCACCAACCATGGAGTGGGTATAGGGGGCACGACCAGCAGAGGAGGGGACATAAGGGGGACACCACCCGTGGAGGGGGCATAAGGGGGCACCGGCTGAGGAGGGGTTATAAGAGAGTGCTGGCGGGGGAGGGACATGAGGGGGCACCAGGGAGGGGCTGTAAGGTCAGCCCTGGCTGGGAAGAGGCAGTAAAATTGATGCTGGCTGGGAGGGGGTGGGTGTAAAGTGGGTGTTGGTTGGGGAGAGGGTGTAAGATGGGCCCCCGGCCATGGAGGGGATGTAGGACAAGCTGGCCATGGATGGGTGTAGGGGCGCCGGCTAGAGAGGGGTGTAGGGAATCCTGGCCGTGGAGGGGGTGTAAGGTGGACCCTAGCCAGTGAGTGTGTAGGAGCTGTGGAGGGTGTAGGACCCCCAAGTCGGGGAGGGGGTAGGACCCCCACCATGGAGGGTGTAGGGTCCCCGTTGGAGAGGGTGTAGGATCCCTGCCATGGAGAGTGGACACCCTGTCGGAGAGGATGTGGGGTCCCCGTCGTGGAGGGTGTGGGACCTCCGTCGTGGAGGGTGTAGGGTCCCCATCGTGGAGGGTGTGGGGTCCCCCGTCGGGGAGGGTGTGGGGTCCCCCGTCGTGGAGGGTGTGGGACCCCCGTCGTGGAGGGTGTGGGACCTCCGTCGTGGAGGGTGTGGGACCTCCGTCGTGGAGGGTGTAGGGTCCCCCGTCGTGGAGGGTGTGGGGCCCCCGTTGGGGAGGGTGTGGGGCCCCCGTTGGGGAGGGTGTGGGACCCCCGTCGTGGAGGGTGTGGGGCCCCCGTCGGGGAGGGTGTGGGACCCCCGTCGTGGAGGGTGTGGGGTCCCCGTCGTGAAGGGTGTAGGACCCCCGTCGGGGAGGGTGTGGGGTCCCCGTCGGGGAGGGTGTGGGACCCCCGTCGGGGAGGGTGTGGGGTTCCCGTCGTGGAGGGTGTGGGACCCCCGTCGTGGAGGGTGTGGGACCTCCGTCGTGGAGGG